AGTTCATTTTTGAAAAGTTAAAAACCGACACAGGCTCATTGTGGACTGCTGGACTGTTTTCACTGATTTACTGAGGCTTTATTTACAAAGTTGAAGTGGTGTGAGTACTTCCAATATAAACCATAGTCTCTTTAAGTTAGAGCAGGACCTCTTTCTGAGCAATCAGCACTACAAGCCCTCTCAGAAAGGAGTGGGGTAGGGGGTGTATTGAAGTTCCAACGTCCCACGCACATCGAGGAAATCCCCCCTCCAACCCCAGTGGCAGAAACTAGGGGCCAAAAAGAGACTGATCTGTTTGGTGGGCAAGTGATGGGAGCTCGACCTTTGGGAGGTGTGGCAGAATGGGGTGTATCTGGCATCCAGAAGTATTTTGTTCCCCACTGTCCTCTTGTAATAAAACAGAGTTCAAGCAGTTTAGACAGTCTGGAATTCATGGAAAACGTTGCCAAAGACAACTGGGCTGAAGTCAGCACCGTCGGTAAGAGGCACCAGTGCTCACAATTAGGACCTCATTTCCCGTTCGTCTCAACTCTCCCGTCAAGGCTTGAACGTTGGCAGAGTGCTAAGAAAAATGGAGGCTGAGGATAAGGAAGAGTCAGCCCTGAAAATGGAAGTGTTTTTTTTTTAAAATTGAAGCTTGAACAACAGCAGTTCCTTGGACACAATTGATCAGCCAGCAAAATCAAAGAAAAAAAAATTCCTGACAGCTAAACTGTTTTTCATTCTAATGAACCTGTTTAGGTTATTGTGAACCTGCTTACATAACAATATGTAAACATGAAGTGGCATTTGTAATTCTTATAGTGCACTCTTTTGGTGATGATAATTTTGAGTTCACAATGATCGAGCACAATGGTCCCCAACCTTGAGTAACCCAGGTGTTCTTGGACTACAATGCCCAGAATCCCTAGTCAACAAAGCTAGTTGTGAAGGCTCCTGGGAGTTGCAGTCCAAGAACACCTGAGTATCCAAGGTTGGTGTCACATTTCAGGATTTTAGGGTGACAATATTCTGGTGGTCTAAAATCTTGGTATTATATCATCTTGGTGTTACAAGGGCTTTACGCTACAAAGTTTGATATAGTCTGCAAAAAACGTTACTCAAAACAATAACATTATCAGAATAGTGGCAACTTGCCCGATATTAAGTTGCAAAACTCTGAAGTTGCAATAGGTGCAAAAGCAAATAAGAGTCTCATTTTAAAATGTTCTTGGCGCTCAAGACCATTAGATCTCCAGGCCCCAGGAGAAAGATATTGTTTACAAACTGGAGGAAAGTTTAGATCACTGAAAGAATTATAAATACAGGACGATTTGACACACATACAGGGATATTCTGAAATCATCACATAACCACAACTCTTTGGGCACCAGACATCAAAGAGCAACTATCATGAAGCAGCAAAGCAGCTTCATTTATAGATATTAACAACAATAATAATGGATTTTCCTCCACATATTGAAAATGGGCTGGCTTGGCTAAGCACTTAACAGCAATGTTGTGAGTGTGTTTTTAATATGATTAAAGGCTAAAGCTTACTTGAAGTTACAAGGCTTTTTACTTTTTAATGATGTGTTTTAGAAAAATATTCTTTTGCTTCAATGTGTCTTTTTATACTATAAGCATAAAAATTTCTGCCTACAACCTAAACTTTGTTTTGGATTGTTTCTTATTTGCAGTTTTTCATAATTGTAAGACTTTTGGATTTATTTTTAAGTATTTATGACTAACATTTTTACATAGCTGTAAGACATTAGTATTTCTACAACAACTCTAAAGTACTGTATTTTGTTCTTATGGAACATAGAAACAATGTACAGTAGAAAAATAAAGCTTGTGAAATTAGACCAAGCTTATGTTGCCTGGAATAACTGCAACAATGAAAAAGCTTGTACTTTAATACTCAGATGAATTCTGATATGATTGCCAATGATTCTGCAATTAACCGTTTTTTGGGATAAAGCAGTTATGACAAACACAGGATTCGGATTTTCTCCTGGAGGTTTAAAAGGTTCTGTAGGACTCTTAGGAAGAGTTTATCCAATCTGATACCACTGTTTTGCTAAAATAATATGTGCCCCCTACTCATCTATAATTAATGAGGGTGGGGAATTCTTTCACCAATACATTGCCAAGTCAAGTAGCAAAGGCTCTGAAAGTTTTGGTAATGGTCAAGAGTACATGTGTGGCCCATGTACCTGACCCTCACATCTTCAGGAGGGGAGCCAGTCTGCAAGTGTAGAAATAGCTCTGTTTTTGCTTATCTTGAAGCCAGGCTGGCTTTGAGCTAAAATGAAGGAACCATTGTTCTGATATTTTCAGACCAAGCCAATACACCCCTATGGCCTGGAACAAGGCAGTTTTTTTTTAAAAAAAATACTGTATTATCAAGCAGTATACAAGTCCTTGCTCCTAACAAACTTACAAACCAAGAGAAAACAAGAGAATAAGAATAAGAGGGAAGTGGATAGGCAGGCAGAGAGAGAATGAGAAAAATGTGATTGTATTCCCCAGTCTTAGCTCAACCAAGCCACTGGTTTAATAAGTACAAGACAACTTAGCAAATGTCAGCAGAGGAAAGCCCACTTCTTCACACTGCCTTTCCTCTCAAGATGCAAGAGGCTGTAAAGAGATATTAAAAGTGATGATAACATTCAACACTTGGGATTAATCTGTCACACACATACACCCCTTCATAGATACGTTCTCAAGTACCTCACACAAGGAGAATTTGAAAAGGCCTGTACAATTTGTCAAACATCTCAAGTGCCAAATTTAACCTTTTTTCTGACAGGAGCTGAGCCCTATCCATCCATAAATATTCATAACCAAACTCCAGTGTTTGCCTGCTTGAATACAGTTAGCCTCAAGTACTGTGGCTGTATGACTAGCATATTAAAGCTACCAATGGGAACTCGGGCATGCTGCCAAGAGAAAACTGATAAGTGGCTAATAACTTTGCTTCCATAGGTGGGGCAGAGTTCATGTTCACAGGACAGGTCTCCTCCCATCCACCCTCATGCGCTATATGTGCCCCCCATACAGGGACAAAAAAGGTGGGAGTCGTGTAGCAAACCTAGTCCAAGGTGGAGCAAATCCAATGCTCACACGAGCAGGTAGATTCTATTATTCTGTAGTCCAAAAAAGTAACTTTCCTAAACTCTGCTGAAAACAGACAAATATCTGTCATGGCAGCCTATATCCCCAAGGTATTGGACTATAATTAGGCCCCCTACCCCTTATGACTAAATTGTTGCCCCACGTTTAAATCAAAGGATCCACATAATTCGGAGCACAAAGCATTTTAGAATCTTTTCTTCCACATCTTTGCTCTTCACAGGCAGAGAAAGAACAAAACGGTTTTCATTAGCAAAGTTGATCTCAAGGATCAGCTCTGATTAAATATATGTTTTAAAGCTGATGAACTTTGAAGTTCGTATCATAAATAAAATCAGGAGATGAATAGGGTCCTAAATTGCACAAAACTGAAAACTGCAAGGAAAGCTGAATTCAATACTCTAATTAAGAACATTTTTACAAGTTGCCCTGCATGTCAAGCCTGTCTCTCCCTCCCACTGGCTTCGTTTCAGGAAATGATCATTACTTGCCAGAAAAGCACAATGTGAATAATAAAGAGCCCCTTATGGGCATAAACACCTAGGCACAGGCATTGTCCAGCTACATGCAAGCATCACATCATACCCAGCTGCTCTTCGTTGTCTTTGTTCAACAAGCCAACTCTACAACCAACCAGATCAAGACAACCAATGCGAAGCTCTTGCTCACCGCCCCCAACCAAGCACCCCACAACGAAATCCCAACCTATGCTACTTTCTCCCAGGGCATCTTGACACCAACCAGCCAAGTTGACCTTGAACTGCATGGACCTTCAAAACTGCCAATCATCTCATCATAAGGATTTGTCCTACTTTGAGTTGAAAAAGTTACTGCTTTCAATACCATCCAACCATCATGGGAAATGTAGTCCAAGAAAGTCACTTTTTTCAAATTCTGTGCCTACACCTCCCCATTTATTAATTTGTTAGCAAGCTTGAATTTTCCCAGTGTTGGCAATTCATGTAATGCCATTTAGGGCTCATTTGATGTGCTCTTAAACAGCTTTCCCCAAAACTAGATGCATGACTAGAACTAAATTAGAAATAGTCTAAATGATCACAGTGAAATCAATGTGCTTACTCTGACCAACATAGTTGATATTTTCACTACCAAATGTAAATAAGAATTCAATCAATCTTCATTTAATCGGTCAGTCTCCATTTCTAACTTTGTATCCCTTTTCGTAATGTTCTCTTCTGTATATTTAAAAACACGGAATTTTAAAGGCACATTTCTGAGTCTTAAGTCAATGTTTGCAGGTACGCACCACAACAGTCCCGCGCCACAAACCACATAAGGACGATCCAAAAATGTAAACAGTTGAGTTGGAACATTACCAACAAGTGGGAAGCAGATCATTTGTAAAGCTAATGACTTTTAATCACCTGCTCAAGACAAATCACCTTCAATTTCCTTGCATTTCAGCAGGGATAGTCTGCAAAAATATACTGGTCATAGAAAAATCAATTTTTGTCCTAGCCGCTGTGATGAATCCAGTTAAACTCAGAAGGAACAGAGAAGCCAGGGTGGAAGGGTTGAATGTTCTCACAATCCCTGCTGATCAAAAAGTCCTGGAGGTCTGACCTGGAAACCCTGACTCCATTATATCAATCACTGACTAATTTTTATTTCCACTTACTGAAATGCCTGATATGTTTGCAGGGACTAACATGGTTACCTCTTCTAAAACTGAAAGTATTACAGAATATAAATAAATAAAAACATAAACAAGTTCAAGATTCTAATGCAATTAAACTTTAACTTTCAAAAGAAGGTAAGATTTAAAAGGGTAATTTAGTAGCAGAAAGAATTACGATACTTTTTCAACTTCCAAATAAAGCTATTACTCTAAATTCTACTTTGTTTATTTTTCACATTCTTACCTCAATGAGTTTTCTTTCATATGAATTTGCTAGTTCTTCATTATTCTCAACTTGCTTTTGCTCGGGAATGGTCGATTCACTCTCCGCATTCCAAAGATTCGGCAAAACTGAAAGCATAAGAAAATGTGCAGCACTGACTTAAGCTAGAAATTAATGTGACTGAAAATCCAGGCATTCCCAGATTTTTAAAAAAATCCACCATGTAATCTTTGCATCACAGAATACACTGCAACCTGCAATACTAAATTCAATCCCATTTCTTTAAAAGCATTTTCCTCGCATTTTGTAGCACGACTTGACATAACAGCAAGCAACCTTTGGCCTTCACATGTTGTTCGACTACAAAGTATATCATCCCCAACTACTGACCATGCTTGCTGAGCCTTAAAGGAGTCCAACACAACGACTTGACATAACAGCAAGCAACCTTTGTCCCTTCACATGTTGTTCGACTACAAACTATATCGTCCCCAACTAATGACCATGCTTGCTGAGACTTAAAGGAGTCCAACACTGGAGGAAAATTTCCCCACCACTGAAACAACAGTTTTGGGGTGGTGGTGGTGGTGGTTAGTGACGAAAACCTACATATTATAGACAATTTGCTGTTCTCTTTCTCTATGCCTTATCTGTCTGCAAGAATTTCTAAAAAGTATCCCTACCTTAGCATCTGATACTTGGGGGAACAGTCAGCATGGTATAATGTTTAGAACAGCAAACTAGAACTGAGGAGAGATCTACAGTGGTGCCTTGCCTGACAACGTTAATTCGTTCCAGCGAAATCGCTGTACAGTGAAAACGTCGTCAAACGAAATTTAAAACTCACTGAAACGCATTGAAAACTGTTCAGTGCATTCCAATGGGCTGAATACCTGCTCGTCCAGCGAAGATCCTCCATATGGCGGCCATTTTCTGGTGCCTGTTAAGCAAAAAATCAGTCCTAAAAACAAGGGGGGGGCATTTTCTTCAGCCGGTGGCCATTTTGAAACCAAACGATCAGCTGTTTGCTGATTGTCGTAAAGCGAAAATCGGTTCCCGAAGCGGGGAACCGATCATCATGAAACGAAAAAATCCCATTTAAACCATTGTTTTTGCAATCGCAAAAGTGATCGCAAAAACTTCAACATTAAGTGGATTTGTCGTAGAGCGGGGTAATTGCCCAGCGGGGCACGACTGTACATTAAAATCTCCATCAGCATGAGACTCACTAGGTAACCTTGGAACAGTAATTGTCTTAGAACAGTTTAACTGAGGTATGCAAAAAAATGTTTTTGTTTGATTTAGGGTTCTTTCTCAGGTGCCTATTTTGTTTTTGCATTTTTCATGCACCAGTCCTCTCATTTAACAAACTATGACCACCTTTTCCAGGTCATTCCATTCCATTTCCCCCATTTGTGTTTTCTGGCACTAGTTTAAAAAAAAAAAAGGCCTAAGCAACCCATAAATACTCCAGAAAACCAGTGGCAGGGCAATAGATATTCAAGTGATTCCAAAGCAGGCAATAGTACAATTAACAACCATCAAACAAAACAATCCTCCCCCAACATAACCAATATTTACATGCTTAACAGAATGAATATACAGTAAATTAACCCAATGACAATTTGTAAAAAATCAATCAACACACACAGAGGAAAAAAAGACAACACAATAAAGAGGGTGATCGCATTGCAATGTTTAAATAGGGTAAACATCGCATTGCGATGTTTTAGAACAGCTGATCGGCGGTTCCAAAATGGCTGCCAGATAAAGAAAATGGCCGCCCGCAGCATTTTGCGCCGATTCCTCACTTACCGAGGTGGCGAAAATGGCGGCCCTATGGAGGATTCCCGCTTAGCGGTGAGTTTATTTACTGTACAGTGGTGCCCTGTATAGCGAGGTTTCCGGATAGCGACGATTTATCCGGAACAGATTATCGTCGCTATGCGGGGCACCACTGTACAGTAAATTAACCCAGTGACAATTTGTAAAAAAATCAATCAACACCCACAGAGGAAAACAAGACAACACAATAAAAAGTGCATACAGAGTCCTAAAACCAAGAAAAGCAAGAAAGCTAATAGAGGCAAAACAACAACAACAACAACAACAACAAAAACCAAAATTCCCCCTCCTCTAAAACCAACCCTACTAAAATGCAAAGAGCATTCTCTCCCCACTACCACCGCTTGCTGTCTTCTCTTCTTCTTTTAATATCATGGCATTATGGGGCCAAGGCTAGCTCGTGACAGACTAGACCCACTGGCAGTTTGTGTTAATTTCCCACTTGACAACTAATGCAATGGATCTACTGTAATTGGGACTAGCAATTGGATTTAGGCCCAAAACATCTGAAAGACACCGGATTCCCAAAGATTGAGCTAAGACAATCACCCAGGTGTAAGACGAGAATGATACCATCATGAACATTAAGAAATGATTTCTTCTTATCACATATGCTGCAGGAATCAACAAAATTATTGGGGTTAATTAGATAAATGGCACCAACATTTATGTCCTAAGTGGGGCTACAACAAGATTATGCAACTGTTTAGTTAAAAAAATAGTCACTTCAGCTGAAAAAGATGAAAATGGCAACTTAACTTATGAGCCTCGTGGCGCAGTGGTTAAAACGCTGTACTGCAGCTAAAACTGTGCTCACGACCTAGGATTCAAATCCCAGGTAGCCGGCTCAAGGTTGACTTAGCCTTCTATCCTTCCGAGGTCGGTAAAATGAGTACCCAGCTTGCTGGGGGGGCAATGTGTAGCCTGTATAATTAAAATTGTAAACCGCCCGGAGAGCGCTATGGGGCGGTATATAAGTCCAATAAATAAATAAATAAATAAAATTAACTTCAAGCATGTCAAAGCCACCACACAATGCTTAAAAATACAAAATTCCTGCCAGTGAACATCATCACTGAAAGTTTCCTGGGAATGGAAGACTTCACACACGGTGGCTCAGATATCTCCAAAAATTCTCCCTCTTAATTAGCCAAAGTCCACCTGATGATAAATGGAAATGTTATTCAATTACACCACTGTGATAAATTCTCAAGTGCTCTCTTAGCAAGAATGTCCCCAAAACCACATTCCCAAAGAGACTCTAAATACGCAAGACATTATACTGGTCCATAACAATCCAGTTCTAGCACATCACTATCAGAAACAGGTCATTTGAAGATGTTCTGACTATTGATCTTTGTTGCTTTTTCACAACCAAGCCACCCCAAAATATTTTGCATCACAATAAAAATAGCTCAGAATAATATATTGCTGAAAAATTCTCCCCTTTCCCCTCCTGCCTGCTACGCACAGAGAAAACAGGGAAGAGAGGGAGGGCGCATGATGCCAATCGTAATGTCCCGGTTCTCCAATCCTCCAGCTATGGCTCTTCTACACCACTACTAGACAGGCCTCAAATGCACCGCAGACTGCGTACACGATTAAAGACGTGTGCAATCTAAACTTAGCACCTACTGTGTTGGGGCTGTTGGAAATGACAGGTTCAAAAGAATCTCCAACAACAGCATCACATTAAGAGGAGGTGTTCACTTGAAGCTATATTTTTTTTAAAGGCTGCCTGAATAGAAAATCTCTTCAAACGCTGGTGCTTAACCAATGGCTCAAGGTAGGGAGCACTTTTTAAATGGCACTAAAGTGGATGTGACAAGCAATTAGGCAGCTGGGGGAAGCAGGTGGTCTGTCAGTCTCACAGCTCAGGCAGTGGCGCTATTTGTGGAGCGAGCGAAAACTTGGCGCAAGGTACGCCGCCTCCTGCTGCCGACAGCCGTCTCCGCTTCGATTTGCATCAGCCCTGCAACCGAGAACTGAGCAATCGGGGCCAATTAGAACTCACCCGCCCTGCCAACATCTCTCTGCTCGTAGAAATTAACTAAAAAATATGGATCAGCTCCAAAATTCTCCCTCACCTCTGGCAACAGCTCTCCTAATAGGTAAATTGCTGGAGGCTCAATACCATTACGAACTGTTGGCTTAGACAACTAGATACTTCCGGACGACGGCTCCTGGGGCCGGTGAATGCCACGACTGGGCAACCCGGATACTGCGGCAGGCTTTCTGTTTTTAACTGGCGTTAAGTTAACATTTATTTATTTTTATTTAAAATATTTTTATCCCGCTTTTCTCTGTTAAAAGAACCCAAGGCAACCTACATCATTAAAAAGATAACAGGCAGAAGCTAAACACAGTAGGTATACAAATATTTAAAAATAATTAATTATTGCATTAAAAACAGTAATAAAATCAATACTGAAACACATTTAAAACAACCGAGCGCAACCATTCACTTAAAACCCCTCTCAGACTACCAATTATTAAGGAAACGCCTGCTTGAAGAAAAAGGTCTTGGATGGGGGACAGTATCTATAGTTGAGGGGCACAAAACCTGTTTTCATTTATTAAAAAGGTCCCAGATGTTACACTTTGTTTAACTGTGCTTTAATATTATAACTCAGTGGTGTCCAACTTTGGTCCTCCAGATGTACTTGGACTACAACTCCCAGAAGCCTTCACCACCGCCTCTGCTGGCCAGGATTTCTGGGAGTTGAAGTCCAAGAACATCTGGAGGGCCAAGGTTGAGGACCACTGTTATAACTGTTTTGCTTGTTTGGCATGAGCTTATTTTTAATCTGTCCCTGGTTTTCTTCTTGTTGCAAAACAAGAGGAAGTTGGGATATGGGTCAATCCAATGAACACAACATTCAGCAATACGCTTAGCTATGTAGTGCCAGCAAAATCTGGACTTCCCTCCTCTCTCCAGTGACAAAAGCCTGCTCCAAAGAGTTTCCTAGCCCAACAGGACAAACATTTAAGCTGCATAGGAGGAACCAGCAATTTGGGGGGGGGGGGACAGCCAGTACCAGTCAACATGAACCAGAGGTGCTTCTGCAACTCCTGACCTGATCTGTGCATCCAAATATTTTGCATACAGATTGGGACCAACCCACTCTGAAATGTTTGGGAGGAGACCTGAATCAATTTGTACTTGAGTTTGTAAAAAAATCTGTACATTTCTGCATCAGTTTTTTTTTTAAATGGAAAAACCATTTTGGGAAGAGCAGAAGTGCTATGATGCACCATCAATTTGTGGAGTGGGATGGTCCTT